GCGTCGACGTAAGTGCCTGTGGACCTATAAGATGCCATCTCTGCCTTCTCAGCTGCTATCTAGTACGAAGCCCAGGGTCCCGAGACCGCCTCGGCGTGAGTGCGAGGGATCGGGATGTCAAGGGCGTCTGGATCCCCCTCAGGGGCAAGCAGCATGGCGCAGAGATGAGGAACAGAGGGCGCAAGGAAACCAAGCTCGAACTGCCTGTCCTCTAGGACCTCCAGGGGAAAGACAGGAGCACCCCCAGAGGACGGAGAACGTGCAGGGCCACTCACCAAGTGAGCGGCGTAGTCAAGGCGGTGGGAAGAGGCAAAGCCAGAGACAGTGGTAGCAAGTGCTGAGACAGACGACAGAGGTGCAGTCGGGTGAGTGACCAACGCGGACAAAACACGGGAGACGACAGGACGGGAGGCACGGAGGTAGTCGGACAACGGGTCGTGAAGCACAGTGAGGGACGACTCAGGGGGCTGTGGAAGGACAGGAGGAGGTGGAACACGAGAGCGGAGAACAAGGTGAAACGGACCGTCTGCACGGTAACGAGACCGACGGGGCTGTGGAGACACAGCACGACTGAGGGGAGGACGACGAGTCCACTGGGAGGAGGAAAGGGACTCAAATGGTGGAACAGGAGGGGACGGTAGGGGACCACGAACAAAGCGTGCAGGTGCTGGGTTGGGGAGGTCGCGTAGTCGCAGTCGCTGCTGCTCCGCCTCCTCTGGCGTCTGCTGCGACGGTACCGGCCCCTGCTGCTGCTCCTGTGGCTCCGCCTCTGCCCTCTCCTGCTGCGGCTGAAGCTGTACCCGCTGCTGCGACCGGGACTCCTGCGCTACCCTCTCCTGCTGCTGCCGTGACTCCTCCTCTACTCTCTCCTGCTGCGTCTGTAACTGCACCTGCTGCTGCGGGTGGGACTCCTGCTCTACCCTCTCCTGGTGCGGCCGTGACTGCTCCTCTACTCTCTCCCGCTGTGTCTGTAACTGCACCTGCTGCTGCGGGCGGGACTCCTGCTCTACCCTCTCCTGGTGCGGCCGTGACTCCTCCTCTACCCTCTCCTGCTGCGGCTGCAGCTGCACCCGCTGCTGCGACCGGGACTCCTGCGCTACCCTCTCGTGCTGCTGCTGTGACTCCTCCTCTACTCTCTCCTGCTGCTGCTGTGACTCCTCCTCTACTCTCTCCTGCTGCTGCTGCTGCTGCTGCTGCTGTGCCCTCTCAAATCGCTCACGCTCCTCCCTCTCCAACCGGAGGAGACGCTGCTCACGGGTCAGGAAACGTACAGTGCGCGGTGTAGGCGCCACAGTGCCAGTGCCTCCAGCTCCAGCACCCCCAGAACCAGCACCTCCACCACCGACACCCCCGGGGCCTCCAGTACCTCCCGCAGGAACACCCTCAGGCTCCGCAGCAACCGACCGCAGAGAAGAAGGAGGAGGAAACTGCAGGACGGACGAGAAGCCAGGGGGTGAGGCAGGGCGAGGCTGCCGAGTCGAGGCTGCCGTATCCTCCACAGGAGTGACCTCCACGCCCACAACCCCTGCACCCCCAGAGCCGACACCACCAGCTCCTGCAGCCCCAGTACCCTCACCCTCCGCAACTGCACCTCCCGCACCCTTAGACATGACAGGGACTGGACGCTGCGGGGGGGAAGAATACGGAGTGACGTGCGACACACCTGACGGGGCAGGACGCGAAGGGGGGGGGGCTACCGGGGCGACTGGTGGGGGCTCAAGGGTGAGGAACAGCGGGGGGGAAAAGGCCTCAGTACCTCGGTGGGGGCGACTCCTGTAGTAACAGACAGACTCGTCGAACGTGACGTCCTGCGAAGCGAAGAACTGGTAGGTGACCGGGTCGTAGAACACCCAGCCGGAGGCGTCCAAAGGGAAGCCAAGAAAGACGCAGGCACGAGTGCGCGGAGACAACTTGTTCGCGCCAGGGGCGCGAACGTGAGCCAGACAACCCCAGACGCGGAAGTCAGCTGCTACGCCCGGAGAACCTGTCCAAAGGGAGACCGGCGTCACCCTTGGCCGTGCGTCACTGGGCCACAGGTTCAGCTGGTGCGCGGCGTAGTGGACTGCCTGGGGCCACAAGAACTGGGGGGCACCGGTTTGGCACATGGAGGTCCGGGCAACCTCCATGACCAGGCCGATGCGTCGCTCGGCTACCCCGTTCTGCTGCGGTGATGCTGGTAGCGTGTAAGACTGGATGATCCCCCGACCCTGACAGAACGTCTCCAGGCGAGTGGAAGAAAACTCACCACCATGGTCCGAGTGTAGGCGAAGCCCACACAGGCCCTGGGCGCCACCCCACGCTAGTAGCCACGGCTCGAGGACGGTAGGCACGTCGGCCTTCCGTCGCAAGGGGAAAACCGTGGTGTAGCGGGAGTAGTCGTCCACCACAATCAGGAAGTAGCGCTCCTGACGTGGGCCAAGGACCGGAGAGGGGCCCCAGACGTCCAAGTGCAGGGTCTCGAAGGGAGCCGTGGTGGGGGGGAACGAGGAGGAGTGAGGGGCAGCGCGCTGCCGACCCTCGACGCAAGGAGTGCACAGCGGCGCAGGCGAGCGGGGAAGCGGTGCAAGCGACCCTGGGAGACCTGAGACCAGACGGTAACGTGCCATCCTACTGAGACGCGGGAACGACGGGTGACCTAGACGGTGGTGCCAGAGGACCGACGGGTGGGTGAGGGACCGACAGTCACACGACACAGCAGCTACCTGACCTGACCTGACCTGACCCGACTCAGTGTGGTGGGACCCTGTGTGTAGTGAGTACAGACCAGATCCCGGCTCTCTGTGGAATGTGGCCAAGGGCGCCCCAGTGGCACCGACAGTGCAGGAGGCAACAGGCTCGTCCAGTGGGAAAGTAGTGACTACGCCTAGGTCGTGAAGGTGACTGACACCCACCAGGTTCCTAGAGAACGAGGGGGTGTAGTAACCTGTAAGAAAACCTGAGGGAGCCGCCGGACACGGAAGAGTGGTGGTGCTGCTAGCAACTACACGTCCCACAGAGGGGTCAGCCAAGGCAACAGTGACTGGAGTGCGCAGTGGTGTGAGGTCGGTACAGTCGCGAAAGAAACAGCTGGACGCTCCAGAATCTAGGGTGAAGGAAAGCTGTGCAGTCTGTGGGGTCGCACCCGAACCAGCTACAAAGGCTAGTGCTAGATTAGTGGTAGCTGCAGCTTCTACACAAAGACCCTCAGAGGCGCCGGGACTGGAAACAACACACGCACCAAGACTGGAAACACAGGTCTCTACTCGTGCAGCCGGAAAGGGTCCTAGACCAGGCAGGTGAGACTCAACTGGTGCAGTAGTGCGCTGGCGAAGGCGCGAAGGCCAGTGCGGTGTAATAGCGTGAGGACCAAAACGCTCACGGTGGAGGTCGTCGAGTCGACGGTAGCAGCTGGACGCAGTGTGGTCAGGACTCCAGCAGGTAGTGCCAGCACCAGGGCCTGTCAGGGCCCGGTACCCGCAGGGGCCGACGTCTCGCCCACTGCTAGCTGAGCCACTGCTGGGGGCGCCACACTTTGGACCCGCAGGCCCCCACTGACGGGAGTGCTGCGGCTGGCCCTGCTGCTGTAGAACCCTAGTACATGCCATGTGAGCCTATGCTGCTGCTGGTTCTGCTGGGGGCAGCCTAAGCTGCTGCTGGTGCGCTGGGGGCAGCCTGTGCTGCTTCTGGTTCTGCTGAGAGGCAGCCTAGGCTGCTACTGGTTCTCCAGGGGGCAGCCAATGCTGCTGCTAGTACGCTGGCAGTTGCCTAAGCTGCTGCTGGTGCGCTGGCGGTAGCCTAAGCTGCTGCTGGTGCGCTGGGGGCAGCCTATGCTGCTGCTGGTTCGCTGGGGGCAGCCTATGCTGCTGCTGCTGGTGCTCTGGCGGCAGCCTATGCTGCTGCTGGTTCGCTGGGGGCAGCCTATGCTGCTTCTGGCTCTGCTGGGGGCAGCCTTAGCTGCTACTGGTTTTGCTGGGGGCAGCCAATGCTGCTGCTGGTGCGCTGGTGGCAGCCTATGCTGCTGCTAGTGTGCTGGCGGCAGCCTATGCTGCTGCTGGTTCTGCTGGTTCTGCTGGTTCTGCTGGTTCTGTTGGTTCTGCTGGTTCTGCTGGTTCTGCTGGTTCTGCTGGTTCTGCTGGTTCTGCTGGTTCTGCTGGTTCTGCTGGTTCTGCTGGTTCTGCTGGTTCAGCTGGTTCTGCTGGTTCTGCTGGTTCTGCTGGGGGCAGCCTACGTTGCTGCTGGTGCGCTGGGGGCAGCCTATGCTGCTGCTGGTGTAGCTGGCGGCAGTGTAATCGGCTGGGGCTACTGACGGCGGGTGTGGTAGATCGTGGGGAGGCAGGTTTCAGGTGGGGAAGCTGTTAAGGCAGCGGGCTACGGGTGAGGCGGCGGTTCTGTGCGGTTCTGTGCGGTTATGTGCAGTACTGTGCGGTTCTGTGAGGTTCAATGCGGTGGAGAGGACTGGGTGGGGCAGCTGATTCCGGGTGAGGTGCCTGGAACGGGTGGGGCAGCAGGTTTCCAGGTGGGGCGGCGGTTGTCAGGTCTGGGGCGGTGGTTTTCAGGTGGGGAAGCTGTTAAGGCGGCGGTTCTGTGCGGTTCTGTGCAGTTATGTGCAGTTCTGTGCGGTTCAATGCGGTGGAGAGGACTGGGTGGGGCGGCTGATCCCGGGTGAGGTGCCTGGAACGGGTGGGGCAGCAGGTTTCCAGGTGGGGCGGCGGTTGTCAGGTCTGGGGCGGCGGTTTTCAGGTGGGGAAGCTGTTAAGGCGGCGGTTCTGTGCGGTTCTGAGGGGGATTTCAGGTCTGGGGGCCGGTTACGACGGTGGGCTGCACGTGCGCGCGGCTACGACGTACTAGCGCGGAGCTGCGGGTGCGACTAAGGCTGCGCGCGCAGCTACGTGCGTTCGTCTGCTGCGCGCTAGAGGACTGGGGGGCAACACGCGGGGTAAAACGAGTGGGGCGCGGGGCTAAAAACCGAGTGACGCACGGCAAAAACGGGTGGGGCGCAGGGCAGAAACGGGTGACGCGCGATGTCGACGGGGGGCGCGACCTACTCGGGCTCTACGGGGCAGGGCGCTTCGGGCTATGGGTCGCTACGAGGCGCGCGGGTGGTGGGCCCATAGACTATCGAGAGAAATTTCGCCTAAGGGAAAAATCGCCTAGGGGAAAAATCGCCTAAGGGAAACCTAGCTCTATACCATGTTACGATAAGAATGAATTGATAGAAAATGTGAAGTACAACCCTAGATATAGCAAACCCTAAACATGCAAGTAAGTAGAAATGTAACACCTAGACTAACCTAAACAACACATATAAAATATATGTTGACAGACTCCGCAACCCCAGACGCAGCACCCCCAGGCGCAGCACCCCCAGACGCAGAACCCCCAGGCGTAGCACCCCCAGGCTCAGCACCCCCAGTGCAGATCTACTCACAGTGCTGAGCCTGGGGGTGCTGAGCCTGGGGGTGCTGAGTCTGGGGGTGCTGAGCCTGGGGGTGCTGAGCCTGGGGGTGCGGAGCCTGGGGGTGCGGAGCCTGGGGGTACTGGGCCTAGGGGTACGGAGCCTGGGGGTGCTGAGCCTGGGGGTGCGGGGCCTGGGGGTGCTGGGTCTGCTCGTGTCTGGCGGTGCTGGGTTTGGGGGCCCTTCGGGTGCTTCGTCGAGGCGGGAGCTACCCTCTCCAGAGGAGCTGCGCGAGTGGTTTGCCTGGCGCTGGAGCCGTGCTGCTGGAGCTGGAGGTGCTACTGTTGCTGCTGACCCTGGGGTCGGCACTGGAGTTACTGGAGCCACTGGTCCTGGAGGTGCTCGTACTGGCGGTACTGGAGCTGCTGGGACTGGGGGTGCTGCTGGGGCTGCTGGAGCTGGTGCTGCTGGAGGTACTGGAGGTACTGGAGCTACAGGGCCTGGAGGTGCTCGTGGTGCTGGAGCTGCTGGCGGTACTGGAGCTGGCGGTCCTGCTGGAGTTGGAGCTGCTGGAGCTGGAGCTGCTGAGGGTGCTGGCGCTGGAGGTGCTGCTGGCGCTGGTGCTTTTGAGGGTGCTGGAGTTGGCGCTGTTGGAGCTGGAGGTGCTGCTGGCGCTGGTGCTGCCGCTCGGGGTACTGGTGCTGTCCCTGCTGGTTCTGGAGGCGCTGCGCGGCCGCGGCCGTACTTCGTTCCGCTCCTTGAGCAGGTTCTTGGTCTTCCGCCTTCTACTGGTCCTGCTCCTCCCTTAGAGTGTCCACAGCCTGTCCAGTCGCAGTCACAGTTACAGCCCGCCTCCCCCCTGCTTGCTCCTTCTCCCTACACTGGTCCTACTGGAGGTCTTGCTGAGCGTCGTGAGCCTGCGTCTCGTCCTGCGTCGCCTGTTCGTGCTGCTCGCACTTGTAGTCGTGCTCCGCGTCCGCATCCTCATGCGGTCCCAGGCACACACCAGATGGCACTGCGTCCTTCCACTACTCTTCTGCTTGTCCCGTTGCCGTCTCCTCCAGAGTCCTCTCTTCCTGTTCTTGCTGACCCGGAGTCTGACTCTCTTCGTGCTGCCAGTCCTACTGTCACGCGTCTCCTGGCTACTGTTGTCACTGACCCTTCCTTTGAGTCCACTGCTGCGTCTGCCTTAGTTGCTGAGCTTGTCGACTTTGCTGCTCGCTGTCGTCTAGACTGCGCCGCTCGTCTCGTTGCTGAGTCTGAGTCTGTCTGTCCTCCGTCCGTCGGGGGTGAGTGTGCTCTTAGCACGGACGTCCTTGAGGACAGGCAGGAGGAGTTCCAGTGTTTTGCTGCTGCTTTGCCTCATCTCGTGTCCACGCTGATTGCCGCTGAGGGAGACCCGGATGCACCAGACATCCCGACTCCTCGATCGTACGCTGAGGCAATCGAGGGTCCCTTCTCCTCACAGTGGCAGTCAGCCATGGACGCAGAGATGGCTTCCTGGAAGTCCACAGGCACCTACGTCGACGAGGTTCCCCCACCTGGGGCGAACATCGTCAGTGGCATGTGGATTTTCAGGGTGAAGCGGCCGCCGGGTTCTCCGCCTGTCTTCAAGGCGCGTTACCTGACTCGAGGCTTCAGTCAGCGGCAGGGAGTTGACTACTTTCAGACCTTCTCTCCCACTCCGAAGATGACCACTCTTCGGGTGCTGCTACACATAGCCGCTCAGCGCGACTATGAGCTTCATTCTCTTGACTTCAGTACAGCTTTCTTGCAGGGCAGCCTGCACGAGGAGATCTGGCTGCGCCGCCCACCTGGCTTCACTGGGTCGTTTCCTCCTGGTACCCAGTGGAGCCTCCGGCGGCCAGTCTACGGTCTCCGCCAGGCGCCCCGTGAGTGGCACGACACACTGAGGACTACACTTGCGGCTCTTGGCTTTGCTCCTTCTACTGCCGACCCGTCGCTGTTTCTGCGCACCGACACCTCTTTGCCGCCGTTCTACATCCTCGTGTACGTCGACGACTTGGTCTTTGCCACTGCTGACACTGCTGGACTCGCCCACGTGAAGTCCGAGCTGCAGAAGAGACACACATGCACAGACCTGGGTGAACTGCGCAGCTACCTTGGCTTGCAGATCACCCGGGACAGGGCACAACGCACCATTACTCTGACTCAGTCACACATGGTGCAGCAGGTCCTTCAGCGCTTCGACTTCACGTACTCCTTGCCACAGGCCACTCCTCTGTCTACTCGCCACTCGCTCTCAGCTCTGCCTTCGGATGAGTCCGTAGAGCCGAGTGGCCCATACCCAGAGCTTGTTGGCTGCCTCATGTACCTGATGACCTGCACACGACCTGACCTTGCATACCCTCTTAGCATCTTGGCACGCTATGTTGCTCCTGGGAGACACCGACCAGAGCACATGGCTGCAGCAAAGAGGGTGTTGCGCTACTTGTGCAGTACGTCGGGCATGGGGCTAGTGCTTGGAGGGCGGCGTTCAGTGGTCCCCACAGGTCACGCAGACGCTTCTTGGGCTGACGACCAGGCTACGCAGCGATCGTCACAGGGTTACACCTTCAGCCTTGGTTCCGGCTCTGTTTCGTGGCGGTCTAACCGCTCGTCTTCTGTTCTCGGCTCCAGCTGTGAGGCTGAGATCTACGCGGGGGTCATGGCTGCACAGGAGCTACGCTGGCTCACCTACCCGCTGACTGACCTAGGAGAGGCGCCTCGTTCTCCTCCAGTTCTGTACGTAGACAACAAGGCCATGCTGGCCTTGTGTCGGGAGCACAGACTGGAGCACAGAACGAAGCACATTGCTCTGCGCTACTTCCTTGCACGTGAGCTGCAGCAGCGTGGTCAGCTGCGCCTTGCTTACGTGGCCTCTGAGGCCAACACTGCTGATATCTTTACCAAGGCACTTCCGCCTTGTGATCATCAGCACTGCTGTACGATGCTAGGTCTTGTGCCTACTTGGCCTCACTTGGTCACTTCTTGACCTTGCTTGTACTGTGATCTTTCTATACCTGCACTTGCTTGTTTACCTTTATATATGATCTTGCATGTGAACTGGCCGTGTGGCCTTGAACTTGTGCTCGGAATGTGTGGTGACGTTGTGATCCACCCTGAGCTTGCTTTGCTTTGCTTGACTGGTCTTGTGACCCCTTGTTCTCCCCCACTTTGCCTATGGGGGTGTGTCAGACTTATATGACTTAGCCTATGTAGGCTATAGTGGGGTAGCACATATGGGGTACAACACATTTCTAGGGTTTGTACTTGTACCCAACCTTTCCCTTAGTCAATCATTCCTCATTTCTTCACACACTTGGCGCCAACTCGGTTCCGTCCAAGATTACACGAGCGGATTTCTGGCGCTATGCGAGCAGGTGGGATATATGCACGAGAGCGAGCGCATCGACCACTAGATCGGCGGCCTGAAGCAGGACATCGCTCAGGAAATTCAGCTTCGCGGCGTCACCGACTTTCAAGAAATTCTCGCTATGGCGGAGAAACTTGACTTCTTCCGCCGACCGAGACCGGGGTCGTACGGAAGCAGCCATTGGGGACATCGGCCTCGTGGGACGAACGAGGGCGCCACGATACGTGCCGTCGCCGCAAATGCCGCTGCCGCACTGTCAAAGGGCGCTGCTTTGCGTGCAATCGGCCGGGACATCGCAAGAGCGAATGCTCGGAAAACGCTAAGGGAAAGGGGGAAGCTGAGCAGCAGAAACAGACCAAGCAGCAGGGAAACGCTGGGAGTCAGTAGCAGACGGGCCCTTTACTGACAGGTCACGCCGCTCGCCCGACCCAACCGACCCTCACCGAGTGATTGTGCCGGTTCACGCAATCGACCACACTCGGCCGAATAAGGAGGGGACTACGGTAGACAGCCCCATACTGCTTAGTGAAAAAATCGGGACGGACTTAGTTAAAATCTTCGTAGACGGGGGAGCTAGCCACAGCTTCATCAACACTGCTACAGCACGAAAACTGCGACTGCCATTGGACAGATGTTTACCTGCGATCAACGCAAGATTGGTAGACGGCACGCCGCTGGCAATACGGGAACGCGTAGACCGGGTTCGGATTCGATGTGGGGGTAACTTCACGTTTAGCCAGGAAATGCTCGCAACGACCCTCGACGGAACCGATATTTTACTCGGGCGTGATTGGCTGCGACGACACAACCCGCGAATCGACTGGACGACGGGTGACTGCAGCGTGCGAGTGAACGGTAACAACATCGCCCTACCTCGCTGGGGCTCGCCTGAGTCTTCGTCAGTGCGTGTCAACGCGATAACGATGAAACGCGCCGTAGCGGCAGGAGCTGACGTGTACGCGGTCGCCATTCGGGAAGCCGAGGCAGCAGACAAAGGAGGGGATTTACAGAAACTGCTGGCCGACTGTTAAGATACTAAGTACAGCTAGGCTTAGGAGCCATAGCTTTAGTGGCTTAGTAGTTGAAGTTTAGGGTCGAGGGGGAATGTCGAGAGAGTTGCAAGGAGAAAAGGATGGTTTCACTATAGGCTCAAGGGTACAAATATGAAAGAAGAGAAGAAAGGTGCACCACCTAACAAGAAAGATAACTACACTAAGTCTACATTGCAGGCAGTTATAAAGTGATGTATACAATTACATTCTGACACACCCCCTAACTGCCTGCAGTGAAGAACCATGTGCAGAAACACCCCCGGAAGGGGTACACCAAGCAGAGCGCAGCACACGGAGAGGGCAAGTGAGGAGGAGGAGGGACTATGAGAGGAGAGGAGGTGGTGGGCGGCAGCTGAAGCTGCTGGCACACGGCGCAACTGGAGCAACTGGCACACGGGCAGTTGGAGCAACTGGCACACTGGCAACTGGAGCAACTGGCACACGGGCAACTGGAGTAAGTGACTCCGCGGCTAGACGAGCGGCAGGAGTAACTGACTCACGGGCGACTGGAGCAACGGGCTCACGGGCGACTGGAGCGACGGGCTCACGGGCGACTGGCGCAGCGGTCTCACGGGCGACTGGAGCTGCTGACTTCACGGCGGCCACCTCCACTCAACCTCCCCTACCTGTCCCACACCCCTTTCACACCCCTTGCCGCACCCCTTGCCGCACCCCTAGTTTCACTCCCCCTCGGCTCCCACACATCCACCCCCCTTCAGCGGCAGCTGCAGCAGTGGGAGACGAAGTAGGAGGAGGAGGAGGGGAAGGGTAGCACCCACACTCATCACCCCCACACCCGCCACCCCCATACCCCCCCCCCACGGCTGCACAGGGTCCAGGAGCGGCGTCGCGGGCAGCTGCAGGGTCGGCTGCTGCAGGGGCGGCTGCTCCAGGGGCCAGGGGCGGCTGTTGCAGGGGCGGCTGCTCCAGGGGCCAGGGGCGGCTGCTCCAGGGGCCAGGGGCGGCTGCTCCAGGGGCCAGGGGCGGCTGCTGCAGGGGCGGCTGCTCCAGGGGCCAGGGGCGGCTGCTGCAGGGGCGGCTGCTCCAGGGGCCAGGGGCAGCTGCTGCAGGGGCGGCTGCTCCAGGGGCGGCTGCTCCAGGGGCCAGGGGCGGCTCCTGCAGTGGCGGCTGCTCCAGTGGCCCCTCGTTACCGTTTGCATGTTTGCATGTTCGCGTATAAATGTTCGCTCATGCCTTCGCTCACATTTTTGTACTCGTTTTGACACCTTAGTGCAATTCTCGCTACTTTGATTCATTGCACCCGTAACACTCAACGTGCTTGACTCCCATTCTTAATTTTTGGAACTGATATTCGCTCTACAGCTGATTTATTGAACCATTATGTTATTGCTTTCGTGTATCTTTGAGGGCCGCTGTGGAC